TTAAACACGAGTAAAAAAACTTGTCGAACATATGACTAATTAGTGATAGGTACACACCGATAAAGTTTGCAGATATTTTAGATTCTACAAATCAAGTGTGCCACGAAATTCGTGTTGGTCGTTTGTTATTTCATTAGAAACTTGAATTGTCACTTGAGAGAATTAATCTTGAACAATTGTTATTTGTTGCACTGGAACTGAGTTCATACTACTTCATAGACTTAGAGCAAGCCGAGTTTGATCTTAGGCTACCTATTTGAAAAATTGAAACTGAGAACCATCAATGAATGAATGATTGTCAACTAGCGGTTTACTAGCCTAAATGTCAAGCAGCTGTCAGTTGCACTAATTCACAGTGCCAAACTGGAAAATATTGATGTCTGAGTCTGACTTGTAACTGACTCTTTCCACAATTTTTGGGATATGAAATTTCTGCTTTTAGAATAGCTAGGCTATCATCAAATTGATTTAAACAACACTTGCAAGTTGCATGATTTTGAATTTCACCAGCATTCTTTTGAGGCATTGATCTTTAGAAGTAGAAAATTGGGCAAAGGCTACCTGAAAATTAGATAAAAATGCCTAAAAATCAGGCCAATTTTGCAAATTATTATATCTTTTTTCTAATTTATTCACTCAACAGTCAACAGTAGAGAAACAGCCCATTTTCACCTGCAATTTTGGAAAATTGCTAATGAACGGATGGCTTTTTTCCCCCAACTTCCCAAGTGCAGAAATTGAGTGAACATCTGAAAATCTTTGGCAATGCCTCAGCAGGCAGCAGCAAAATATGCACCTTCAGAACTTCAGAAGATCTGCTTGACACATTTTGATTGAAATTATCGCATTTCAGATATTCACAAATCTTTGTCAAAATGGCAACACTAACTGCAGATCAGGGTGCAGAGGGTGAATGCAGCGTCGCCAATATATGGGTTTTCAAGCCCTAAGCGTTGCCGGGTAATTTTAAGAAGCGTTGCCGGGTAATTTTTAATGAAAAGCCATTTACGCTGAGTAATGAAAAACTATTTACAAGCCACAAACTTATTTACAAGGTTGCATGCACGTGTTACCCCAAATAACTAATTTTGCCCTATAAACAGTCCGATTGTACAGCAAGTGTCAACTGAACATGTGATAATGCAGTCTGACCGCTCTAATGTGACCGCAACTAGGGTAAACGTGGTATATTCCGACATCGTGGGTAATTCCGCCACCTCTTTAGTTTTTCCTTTATATTAAGCTTTGTTTTAATTCCATGCATTTGTTGATGGTTGAAATGGTGACATCATACATTTGCGTGTCAAACTACTGCCAAAACACTAGGTCTTGGCCATCTAGTGGGAAAATATTGAGATCCAAAGAGAGACGATGCACGCTACCCAGTGAGATCATCGAAAAATGTGTCAAATTTGACAGTTTACCTTGCTCTACCAAATAGTGCATAACTGTTTGTATAGGAAGAATATTATGGTTTGAGACTTTTAAATACGTCTGTGAATATATTAGGAATCCTTTAAGTATACCTGTATTCGCTGATTTCAAGTGGTAAATAAATTAATAGATGATTAAGTTGAGAAATGGATTTAGACACATGAAAACTAATTCCGTCACAACTTGATTTGGTCACACACAGATCGTTCCAAGCTGTGTACAAAAATTAAAATTTGCTTAATTAAAAGCTTAATAGTTGTTAATTAAAAGCGTAATTAAGTAGTGTTCAATATTCATTAGTGTTCTAATTCAAAGCCGTGTTGTATTCCAATACAGCTCACACAGCGAACTGAATTCAACACGTGGATGACGGCATTACGTATCAGTAGAATTTGAAGCGTGGACGGAATACGCCTCACCACGTGCCGAATATTGCCACACACAGTGACGGAATATAGGGATTTGGTAGGTTTCCATTCTAAAGGCTTTTAAATAAATATGGCAACATTTTGTGATGTTTAGTTGTTGCTGACACATAGTGCGGTGTTTTGAGAGTCACATAAAGCAAACAGAACTTGAGTAACGCATACGGTTATTTTTTTATAGTTTTTCATTTCTCGATGCGTCCTAAATGTGACGGAATATACCGCGTTTACCCTACGTAATCACAAGCTTGATGTTTACATTTTTTTTGCGGGAACTCATCACAACTGATTTCCTGACAAGCTTCACTGCATCCTGATCCATCCAACATACTGGAAATCTTACTTTTTTTTAAATAGTTGGCCAAAGACTGACAAATATATTAAATGCAAGAATTTCAATCTAAAAGTGTTGGCAAGATCTTCTGAATGCGTAAATTTACTGAAGCGTTGCCAAAGATCTTGCAATATTCCTCCACTCTCTGCACAGTGGACTGCAGAACAGAAGCTACTACACTCATACTAGTTGGGATTTGAAAAAAGTTCTACTTTTTTCTGAAATATTGCAGATTTAATATCATGTAATTTCAGTAGGGATGGAATCTTGTGGCTCTAATGTCAATTTGTCAATTTTCATGTATTTTGATAGATTGAAAAAATTGCAATTTGCATTTTGCAAAACCTGTCATTTAATGAAATTATCAACTTTTGCAATTTGCAGTACTTCATTGTTCGCTCCTGCTAAAATATTCTGCATAAGGTCATGATAACAAGACAACCCAAAATGTTTCATTGAAGATTGCATAATTGCGGTCACATCCAAGCAGTTAGACTGCATTATCACGTGTTCAGTTGCCGCTGAAGTAAAAAAAATATTAGTTTTGCTATTTCTAAGGTAAAATTAGAGATTTGAGGTAACTCATGCACAGGACTTTGTAAATAAGTTTGTGACTCATAAATTGTGTAGATAAGTTTGTGACTCATAAATGGCTCTTTATGTTCATAGCCAAGCCATTAACCAGCCATGGCTGGTTAAATTGGTTCCAAGATACTTGGTTGCAATGCAATTGTTTACTGCAATACCTGGGTGGGATGTTGAAGAGAAACTCACCAAGGTTGATTTTGTAAGAAATTTGATGAAAATTGTTTTTTGCAACATACCTTGGACTTGAAGACTGCCAGCAATGTTAGGCACTGTCAGCAATGTTTTTGTTCTACAAATTCCAAAATGAGCAATGCATCCATCAAACTTTGCATCCTGGGCTTTTGCCGGAAATTTAAGGAAACTTCTGTAAATTGGTGATCTTTAATGTTCCAAGACTTGAATAAATGACTCATGACTGTGACAAATGAATAAAATTCAAATGAAAAATACCCAAAAAAATACCACTAGGCTAATTTGGAATATCAGGCAGAATTTTCTTACAAGTGCAATTGAAACAATAGTTTCATAAATGATTTTCAATAATCATAGGTGAAAATAGACCATTTTTTTCACTGAAAACATCAGGAGAAGGCCATAGGAATGGGTAAAATTAGCCAGATTCTGGTGCATTTTTGTCCAGTTCATGGGTGGCTTATGCCTAATTTTCCACTTTGGCCACTCAGGTTCTTGGCCAATCTGAAATATTTTGCAGAATTGTCTAAAAATCACTGGGACAAACTATTGTTCTAATATTATTTAATTTTTAAAAATTCCTCATAAAAATGTGGCATCTTTCTTATTTTTTTATAAAAGAAATTAGACATTGGATATTAATATGGGTGAAATTGACTGCAAGCACAGGCATTTATCTTGGTCATAATTGGCCTCTTGAACAATTTTCCAGAATGGTCAGGTCCCATGATTCAAATGGATAATATCTACTTTCCAAGCTGTAATCTGGCAAGAAACATATACCTATACTCCACAAGCCACAACTAGAGCTTTCATGCCATTCTTGGAGCCCCAAGATTCCAGCTAGATGAAATATCTCCAATTAAATTTTTAACAAAAGTGGTGTATGATTAGTCCACCAGATCCAAAATGTATGGAAAATATCGTGCTTTAAAGCTGAGAAAATTCATCCAGAAACATCTAAATTTCAATCCTGTCTGTGACTAGAGCTTTCTTAACATGTTTGAAGCCATTATATTCTCACTAGATAGATTATCTTCTCATACAGAAATGTATGATCAAGATGTGAGGTACCAAAATTGGCAAAAAATGTCACATAGGAGCCAAGAGATTTTAGTGATATATGAACTTTTCCAAGCCATGACTGAGGCAACTAGAGCTTTTGTGCCTGTTTTGATTTCTGCTGGATGAAATATTTCTTATCTAAATGTTCATAACACAGCATGATTAATTAACTTGTTGAGTGTGGCAAGACCCAGTGATGGGTCGTACTTGCAGTATGAAATACTCCCTGAATACGACACAGCTGCACTTAATATGGTAAAAGGATTCAAATGGATGAAAAATGTAGACATATATAACCTTGGAGCCCTAAGATTTCAGTATGAAGTAATTTTCTTATCACACAGAATGGTCACAATTTGATCTATTTTACTGCAATAACTCTAGTACATGGGGTACAACTTTTGGAAAAGATTGGAAAATGAATCATTCCACTTGAATATCACAGCTCTTAAGTTGCATATTTTTGGCTGGTGATGTAATTGAAGGATCAATTGTGCTCTTCTATCAAGGGTTTTTAGCTATGATAAATTGGCTTGATTTTGGTGCACTTGTTTATTTGAAATTTGTGGCAATTGTTCTGGTCACATACCCTTGGTTTAAATATATTCATGTTCAGATTGGGGATAATTTATCTAGGAGAATTCCTAATAATTGGAATTGACCATGTAGTAACTTTTGTATCAATGACAGTACTAGTTAAGAATTTCAGTCAGTATATTTTGATTAAAATGGCCAGTTTTTTATTAGACAATTAGAACAATGTTATCTTTGAGCCTAATTGCCTAACATATCCACGTGTCAAGACGTGATTAGGGCTTACAAATCATTTTTTGAAACCGCAATATTCTTGCTACATGAATTTCTCCTATCTGATTGTTAACAAATTGTGCTGTGAAGTTTTTTCATTACATGGTGAAATATAGTATATGCATGTGACTAATTTCTAATATTTTCTATTCCAGGTGCATTGTCACAAGCAATATGGCCAAAATTTATTAATGCATGATTGGTTGAAGTTTAGGCTTGCCGCTGGGGCCTTGCTGAGGCAGAACCCTACTTTGTTTATAGCCTTTTGCTGAAGAAAGGAAGTGATATTTTTGCTCAACTCGTAAGATTCTCAATAGCACACTTACAATAATAAAAATTTTCTTCACAAAGTTCACAAGTTGAGGCAACCTATATTTTGAGTGGTCATGAGATAGCATTGAACTGTACAAGTGATTTTTTTCTGCTGTCCATGACTTGTGATTAATTTCTTCACATTTTAATGAGGTGCAATTTACATTCTGATTTTCAGGCTTAAGAGCCATGTAAAATAGGTAAGTAAATCAAAGCATCATTATCTATTTCAGTTGAATACTGCATTGCTTTCAGTGGTACCGTATATGTTGCTTAAAAATGTGAAATTCATAATTTGTATTGGATTTTCCAGTGAATTTATTCATATTTTTTTATCTTAATATAATTTTGTCAGTGGCCTCAACAAACCTGAAGTGGCATGAAACTTTTGCTTTGACTCTAAAGGGCAACTGCTTGATTTGAAATTAATAACTTCAAAACCAATTGACTGTCATATACACAATTTGTTGTGCATAATTTACATTTTTATTCACCATTATTTGAAATCAATTGATTGTACATCCACACAATTTTAATGAAGAAAATTCAAGATTTTATTTATTCTTACAGCTTGCTCATGTACAAGGTGTCCTTGCTAGCGCCCTGTGCTTCATCATGGCTCTTGCCTCGTCAAGACCGGGCAATCTCCGCAACCCTGAGGTTGCCGAGCTGTTTGACCGGGAAGATCCTGAACGGCTCTTCGATGATCTCCGGGAAATTGGGCATGGCAGCTTTGGTGCCGTGTACTATGCTCGACATCTGCAGACCAAAGAGGTGCGGCTTTAATCCCTTTAGTGGCTCATTCATAAAGTTATATAGCAACCTATTTTCTTGCGAGTGCAAAATGCTACATTGCATCCATACCACATTGCTGAAATTTATTCATGGAAAAAAATTAGACAGGTGACATACATATGTATACCGTATGTCTACCTGGTCATAGTGCAGCTGGAATAGGTATATTATGGTACATGACAAATTATTTGGCAATATATTTATCAAATTAAATTAACAAGCTTCATAAGTAAAACAAAATTCTCATTTTAAAATTCAACATGTAAAGCTGGATACCAAAGGATTAATGAAAACGTAGGTGTAAAGATACTAATTAGGTAATGATACTAATTGTTGTCTTGAAATAGTTGAAACAGATTTTTATTGTGAAGAAAATATTTTTCCTTGCATTTATTCATACCGGTAATCATTGTATGCTTTTGAGGATCTAAAATGGGGTAATACATGTATATATGCTTTTTCAATATACTGTCGATATTTCAATGGTTACAGATCTAAGCTCAGTGTATGGACTTTTTCCCTAGGTGGTTGCAATTAAGAAGATGTCATACAGTGGCAAGCAGAGTTTAGAAAAATGGCAAGACATTTTGAAGGAGATAAAATTTCTTCGCTCGCTGCGCCATCCCAACACTGTCAACTACAGAGGCTGCTACCTCAGAGACAACACTGTATGGGTAAGATGCTCTTCTAGGTTGTGATGTCATCAACGAGGACTGTATATAGTACATTGGTATCACAAGTGTACTGACAATGTACACTAATGTACTGTGATGTCAATGGGAATCAAATGTGGTACATTGGTATCATCAATGTACAATCTACCTAATCCAATTTTATGCCAATGTACAATGTACACCAATGTTGTACACTATTATCTACAATAAAGTGAATAACTACCAACCTTCTACTAGTTCCCTTTTTCTGGCAGATAGTTAGTACACTAATAGTTATCCATGTTCCAGCCAGCAGCTGGTTCGTATGTAACTAGTTCTCTTGTTGAGGCATCTGGTTAATACGTAACTACCCTCTTTGTTCCATTAACTAGTTTGTATGTTACTAGTTAATGACCCCCTATCCCGACAGCTGGTGATGGAGTACTGCCTAGGATCAGCCTCGGACATCAGTTCGATTAACTAATTGGCATGTTTCTAGTTAATGACCCCCCCCCTCCCCCGACAGCTGGTGATGGAGTACTGCCTAGGGTCAGCCTCGGACATCATAGAAGTGCACAGACAACCTCTACGAGAGGAGGAGATCAGCGGTATATGTGAAGGCTGTCTGCAGGGGCTAGCTTACCTGCACTCGCTCTCTAAGATACACAGGGATATTAAGGCTGGCAATGTGCTGCTTACTGAGAACGGCACTGTCAAACTGGGTAGGTCTTTTGAATATATAACATGATGTACAGTGATATATATATGAGAATTGAGCTGTCAAACTGGGTAGGTCTATTGAATATATAACATGATGTACAGTGATATATATGAGAATTGAGCTGTCAAACTGGGTAGGTTAATTGAATAATTAACATGATGTACAGTGATATATGAGAATTGAGCTGTCAAACTGGGTAGGTCTATTGAATATATAACATAATATACAGTGATATATATGAGAATTTAGCTGTCGAACTGGGTGTGTAACTTAAACATATGATAGATAAGAATGTCCAAGAAAATTGAATGCTCAAGCTGGGTATTATGTAATTACAATATTTAATTTAATCTATATAAGGACGGCACCGTTAAGCTGGATATATTACTTATAAATAAGATATATACAAATATCTGTGATAATAATAACAGCTCTGTCAAGATGTATATCTGACGTGAAAACCTGATTTATATTAATACCTATCTACGGGAAAAGCTAAAGGCTAAAAGCATTATTTGCTATGTTATGATGCTTGAACTATTCTTACTGCGGCAAACTTGACACTAGCAAACTTGACTATACAAGCAAACTTGACACTAGCTTGTATCATAAGCCAAAGTAGATACAAAATTTACTAGAATTACAAGCTAAAGTTATCATGCATGACCTGTTGTTACAGCGGACTTCGGCAGTGCAAGTATCAACTCACCAGCCAACAGCTTCGTGGGCACCCCTTACTGGATGGCGCCTGAGGTCATCCTGGCTATGGATGAGGGGCAGTATGATGGCAAGGTCAGTGCTTTGCTACTTAGAAAATATAAGAAATTTGTCCAAAGTGTGATGTACATATTGCCCATGTCATGTGTGGGCCATCTTGACCCAGTTTTGCCTAGAAAAATAATGTATCAGTGCTACGTACAGAAGGTGTCACTATTTGGGCAATATGACCCATTAACTTTTCTCTGATCTCTTCTCTGATCTGAATCAGTTCATTTCTCTTCATGAAATGAATACATTTTCAAACAAATTTACAAATGAAAATAAGTGCTCCTATAGAGATATTCGATTCAGGCTTCGCGAATGATATTTAAAATGCAGCCATCTAAAAGTTTATCGGAATTTCCCGTGTTAACTTTTTATAAAGTGACAATTTCTACACATAATTAGGTATTACTACCACTTCCACTTTGGTTGATGTAGAAAATTTTGAAATTATTTACAATTTCTTCCCAAAATGTAAGCCAAATCTTACAATTGTTGATATTACATCGAGAGCCTACAAAGTTTCCCCCTCTAACTTGAGCAACTTTATTGTTGCTTATATACATGAATTGGTCATTAGGCATAAAATTCATCAAACTGGGCATCACTTATCCTTGTTTGTACGTTGCAGGTGGATGTTTGGTCACTAGGCATCACATGCATTGAACTAGCAGAGCGCAAGCCGCCCTACTTCAACATGAATGCTATGAGTGCGCTCTACCACATCGCGCAGAACGACCCACCGAAGCTGCAATCCGCTGAATGGTCCCGAGACTTCCAGCAGTTTGTCGAGTCTTGTCTGCAGAAGTCTCCTCCTGACAGACCAACTTCTGCGCGACTTCTATCCGTGAGATTTATTTATTCTTATTATTTGCTGTAAGAAGTATGGAATCCATTATTACTTATATTTATTGATTATTTGATTAGTATTAATATGCCACTATGGCGTATTTTTGTCTTGAATTCTAATTGTAATCAATTCGTAGCGATTTTTGTGAATTTATGAAGGAAAGAGTTTTTTTGCATGATCACCTTGTGGCCACCAAGCTACCTTCGCATCTACTATAGACGCTTTTGATGCTCAAGAGTTGGTTTGCCGTCTGCTAAGCCTGGTCTAGTTTCTAACTAAGCCTCTGCTTTCCCAAATATTTTAGATATTTATTGAAATAATGAACCCAAAGCTGAGTTTATTGAAATTTTGCACCCAATGCTGAAACAGCAATCCAATATCCAGCCGAAAACCATGACTGAAATGTCCATGTGATGGATGCAACTTTGGTTTTGCTAGAGAGATTATCGATTATCATTTGCAGCGAAAGCTCAAAACCGCTGTGATGAAATTGCTAGTTACAATCCGTCATGACTGCTCTGTGGGTAATATTGTTGAAGAAATTGTTATTTGAATATTGCTAAATAAATCGTTATTTACAGCACGAGTTCATACACCGGCACCGTTCGTCCCACATCATCCTGGACCTGATCGCCCGCACCAAGAAGGCGGTGCGGGAGTTTGATCATCTCAACTACAGGAAGATGAAGAAAATCTTGCTCTATGATACTGAAAGTCAAGCTGATGTCGACAATGTCACCATAGGTGAGTGTAATCTCTAGAACATTAATGATGATTTCGTAAAAACAAAAGGTTTTTAGGTTGCCATGTTTGATCATTTCAACTACAGGAAGATGAAGAAAATCTTGCTCTATGATACTGAAAGTCAAGCCTATGTTGACAATGTTACCGTAAGTGAGTGTAATCTCTACAATTTTAATGATGATTTCGTAAAAACGAAAAGATTATAGGTTATCTCATATTCAATCATCTCTACTAAAAGAATATTTAATAAATCTTGCTTTTTAATACAGATTACAGAAAGCCAATCCGATGTTGACAATATTACCATAGTCAGTCTAACCTCGAAATCATTAACAAATGATTTCATAAAAATGAGAAAAAGTATCTACGAAGTTTAAAGGTTATGCCATTTTCAGTAAAGTCGTTGAAAAGTTTTTGCTCCTTGACATTGAAAACCAGGAATACGTCGACAATGTAACCATAGGTCTATCAAACCTCCTAATCATTAATTATAATAAGTTAGTGGAGATTGTGCAAATGATTCCATGTCACTTGTATATAATTCCAGAATGAGCCCCATCATTAAAATAGTTTATGTTTTAAGTTCAAAATAATAATGACAAGAAAGACTCCAGCACTTCGAGTTCCACTCGTATCCCTAGCTTCAAATGAGTTACGACTTACGGTATATGTCACTGACGACAGGCGGTTTTTAAAGTCATTTTATCAGAGGAAGAGAATCTAGTGTCCAATGGTTTAGTGACGTTATAATAAGCTTGTTAGGTAAGCAACTGTTGTGGAAATTAATATTTTATAAACTAGTTGTGCTGTCTTATTTTTTTCCAAGTTGAATCTGAATCAATTGCCATGACTGCAGGTGGACGATAGCACCAAATTTAGCCCTAACATTTGAAGATGTGAAGCTAGTCATATTTCTACGGGAATAATTGAACTATCGTCTCAGACTCAGCCAAAGAAAAGACAGCTGGCCACGATAGCTCGCAATTTTGTCCCAATTATCAGAAATTTTTCTGGCAGCAAGAAGGTAATTTTACTGATGTTTCAATTTAAATTATTGGAATAATTGAATTTAACATATTGAAATAATTGAACTATCCCCAGACTCAGCTGAAGAAGAGACAGCAGGCGGCGACAGCAGCAAGAGCAACAGCATCACTTCAGAACAAAGCGTTCACTCCACGGCCGGGGTCAGTCACTCCTCTCAGTCATCATCCACCAGCAGCCTACATCACCACCACCTACACCACCATCACCCTCATTACCATCACCAACATCCCAGCCCCACGGTATATAACAATTACGGAGGTCTGAATCACAATGACAATATCGCACCATCATCAGTCAGTAGTTCTACTCCCATCCCGCCACACAGATCTCACCATCATCACCATCATCATCACCAAGACCAACGTAGTATTAGTAACAGTAATGATAGCTCTAGAAACATACCCTCAGCATCTCCCGTTACCAGTAACCACCATCACCATCATCACCAACAAGCTAGCGGATACGGGCTAGAAACAAATTTACAGCACCAGCACAACGTGTCACAACATCACCATCACCACCATCACCCACACAAACACTTCCAGCTGCAGCAACATCATTTGCTGCAGCCCCAAACATCTTCTTCATCTTCCCCACATCTCTCGGATGGTGGGGGGGACCACAGAATTATGGGTGGGGACGAAGACTTCGATGAGACCCAGAGTTTATCCTCAGACCGCGGGGTTGGGGGAGGCCTGATGCACCCCTCACCCGCCCCCGACGTGGTCCTCGAGAGCACCCTAGGGGCTAATTCCCCCCACTCCTCCACCCCTTCCCTCCTCGAGGATAATCTCCCCACTCTTCCCCTTAACCACCATCACCAGCATCACCACCACCACCAGCAGCAGCAGCAGCAAGCAGCTGCGGCAGCAGAGGGGACGGCGACCCCCAGGCCCCCCGGGGGGTCCGTGCGGTCCGTCAAAGCGCGTCGGTTCCTCAGGGTAGGGGGGCGGTGGGGGGCGGGGCTTGTGAGGCATGTGAGTGTTGTGTGAGTAGCTGTGTAGGTTGTGTGAGTAACTGTAGGTTGTGTGAGTAACTGTGTTGGTTGTGTGAGTAACTGTGTTAGTAACTGTGTAGGTTGTGTGAGTAACTGTGTAGGTTGTGTGAGTAACTGTGTAGGTTGTGTGAGTAACTGTGTAGGTTGTGTGAGTAACTGTGTTGGTTGTGTGAGTAACCGTGTAGGTTGTGTGAGTAACTGTGTTGGTTGTGTAAGTAACTGTGTTGGTTGTGTAAGTAACTGTGTAGGTTGTGAGTAACTGTAGGTTGTATGAGTAACTGTGTAGGTTGTGTGAGTAACTGTGTGTTGTGTGTAAAGATATGTTTATTTAGAAGAGCGTGCTAACAGTGTTTGTGATGTTGCCCTCTCTTCATCTCTTGCCCTCTCTACTTCATCTCTTGTTTCCTCGCTTCTCTCGCTCTGCTTTTTCTTTTCATTGCCTTACCATCATTCCGTGTTTCTATTCACTCAGGAGAAAGAATGGGTCATATTGTCCAAGTAGAGACCCACTTTCTTACCCACAGCATATACAGAGAGCGGACATGGCACTGATACGTCCTTTGCAGTACAAATTTAGGTCAGGATGACCCACCCTGGGCAAAAAGTGCATCGCTATTTGGACAAAGTCTCATTCGATTCTTGTTACTACATACGTACATACTTTGATATTTTTCTTAATTTCATTCAAACCAACGTATTTTTTTAATTTAAAATTGATATTCTTAATTAAAAACTCGCAATTGCCCAGTTATCTCTAACCGGAAGTTGGTTGTTGCTCGCTGGTACTAACTCCTTTTATTTTTTGTTATCTTGTGTGTGGATACTAACACTTGCGTATTTTCATGTATTTAACAACATAACTCTCTTTAAATACTAATCATATTTTGAGTTTTGAGAAGCAACTCTTCATAACTTTCTTTTGTTTTCCTTGCGTTGATGTTGGCCACAGTTGAAAATTTACAATTTTTTATTTTAGGTTGGAGATGGTCTCCGAAACATTCTTGATGAAGATATGGTGAATATGATGAAGATGATGTGAATATTATTTGCTTTTAAATCCTTGTTAAATCTGCGATTCAGACAGTCTAATTTTCCATGTTTCAATCTCAGGTCCATGTACATGGACCTGAGATGAAAAGTTCCACAAAGTTAAAAGCTTTTCTTTAAACAACACATTTTTTAAACAACACATTCTGTGACAAATAATTAACACGCACACAAGTTCTGTGTAAATCAACGCTCTTACTGAATCATTATTGTTGCTATGTTAGAGATTAGCTGAAACGTTCTCATACGAAAACTTTAATCGTTTCTATAGTTAATGTTTGTACGATCTGTCTTATGGAACTTGTATACGTACTTGCATCGCTACTCATATTTGTGTCACGCATGCATGTTTTCCATGCATTTATGCTCTATAGCATGTAATAATGCTATATTGCTCATCACTACGACATGCTATATAACAAACATTGTACGTTACGTATAACAAACTTTCTCAAGATGCACATGTGAAAATATCTTTCTGATCTCAAAACAATGATTTTAACGAAACATCAAGCCCCTTCGTTTACATATGCATTACATACTACAATTAGTGTTCAATGCAACTTTACTTTGTTTTTTAATGGAAAGCCATAGAAGTAGTGTAATGACGGGATTATAGGTTTAATCAGAAGATATTGTTGGCCTTGCATTAGATTTATCACGATTTTTAATTTGTTAGCTGATCGCTTGGCCGAAAAATATTTATTTAATACTCAGATTTCATTCTTTGACCGGATAATTTTCGAATTTTCACTCATTCCGGGACACGTTCGTTATCAAGCATACTTCACACATTGCCCTTATCGTTTTTCTGCATATGTCGTCAAAATCCCGATAGCCTTGCTGCGACAACCTGTTTCCTATTACGTTCCCCATAGCAACGATCTCAGTTATTATGCGGTGTCATCATAACTCTTGTTTCCTTGCTTGTTGCTGCTTGTGCTTCCAATATTCCATCTTTTCTATTTCCTTTTTTTCTATCTATTCTATCTGTTTTTTCTCTATAAAATCTATATTTTAGGCGTTTAGCCACGCATTGCAAATCGTTCGTATGTTTCAATTGAATCGACGAAATCGTTTCTTGTAATATATTTGCCTCTCACAAACTTCAAAACAGTTGTAATTTTAAAAAATCCTAATCTCAACATTCACATACGAATTGTACGAAAAAAATGCTAATATCATTAAATTTAATAATGATAGACTATATTTTGCATCACTTGTCACCACCTTAAATGTGATGATTGTCAATTATCATTATTATTAATTATTATTGTGATGCTTGGCAACTGCTTGACTTGTCATACTTTCCGCCTCTCCCTCCTCCTGTGCCCCTCTTCGCTCCTCTCCCTCCTCATGTGTCCCTCTCCTGCGCCCCTCTCCCTCCTCCTGTGCCCCTCTTTTGCGCCCCTCTCTCTCCTCCTGTGCCCCTCTACTACGTCCCTCTCTCTCCTCCTGAGTCCCTCTCCTGCGCCCCTCTCCCTCTTATGCCCCTCTTCGCCTCTCTCCCTCCTCCTGTGCCCCTCTCAGCTCTCTCCCCTCCTGTGCCCCTCTCAGCTCTCCCTCCTCGTGTGCCCCTCTTCTTCGTCCCTCTTCTACTCTTGTTTCCTCGCCAATAATTACAAAAAATAGTCGTATTCATTTCATTCCAATGGCTCTACAAGCTTCATTATATTACTTAACTTCAATTCAGTTCATGTGAAAACAAAACAATCTAAAACTCTTCTTGTATATCCACTTGCTCTTGTTCTTCGTGTTTTCATTTCTCAGCTTCTCGAGTTGGTTTAAGCTCGCGTTTTTGCACTTGTCCGCTGCCTTTCAAAGCTAGAATCATAATCACTGAATCATTCTTTTAATAATGATATCAGAGCCAGTGTACATACAATGGTTTCATCGGATATTATTGGACATTGTGTTTCAAAACAAAATCTCAATGATTTCCATTGATATCATTGTACACTATATCTTTCGGTCCTAAAAGTCTTATGGTTTCCACCGATTTCACTGGACATTGTGTCTCACGTCTCCAAATTCTTAAATAATTTCGACGGCAATCACTGGACATTGTGCCTCTAGGCTCTAAAAGCTGAGAATATCCCTTTGAGTTTCTTCGGGCTATAATCATCACGCTGCTGCAAGTGCTATGGCTTGAGACTTTATAAGGAATGCCTCCCGACTTTACCATTGATAGTGAACTATATAGTGCTAGTGAAAAGTGCTATACCGCCCCGACACTACTTCTGCTGCCGCTGCTACTGGTGCTGGTGCTGCTGGTGTTGACACGCTAAATACTCTCACTAACATCATCACTTCTCACCATCACCACTTCTGCCATGAGTATCTAATTGCTTAAGTGCCTCTCTTTACTTACCTTATTAATCTAAACTATACATTTAAGCAACTTTATATTAAACTTTTGTGCGACAGGTTCCAATTTGTGCGCACAAACTGCACATTGGAACGAAATTGTTCTTGCCACGGCTTGACGCCTTCTTAGTACATTATTTTCGTTATTATTATTATCTTTATCAATATACTAATATGGTATATTAATATGGCATCATTGATAGTATATATACTATATATGCTTTCGCGCACGTTTCATATAATAGCTGTTTTTTTTAAATATCGTGAAAAAGCATGGGATATATATTTTCCCTATATACATGAACTTGCTATACATGACTGCTAAGTTGCTACGTTAACAAAACTTGAAACTAAAATTTTTTTATGCGCGCTGAACAATTTTTTTCCGACCTCAAGTTTAAATCCTAAATGAAAAATATTAAATTCCTGCAGGATATATTTTTCCCCATGGGTTTGTCTTAGTAGCAGGTCGTCTTTCTCAAAATTGTCGTTGAATTAGAATTATTTTTCGCAATTATTTATTCTCTGAATCCAGTTTTCTTGACTAGCAATGGTACTTAGTAATTTTCTGTTTAATTTACTACCATAAAATAATTTCTTTTGTCAGGACCTTTAAATTATCTTAATTACATCCAATTTCTGAATTATTTTGACAAGTATTCTTATTCGACTTTGAGCGTTAACAACGTACGATTCCATTAAGGGCAAATAGAACTACAATTCTTACATACATTGAGTCGACTTTCTAGAACGTACAAGAAAAGAGGGCGATTCAGATTATACCCCTGGAATAAAATATATTGCAGAATTTTTGACAAACGCGGTCTAGTCGTTCCATGAAGCCTTTCAGCTTATATTGAGATAAGATGTATTTTATATTGTATATAGTTCAGTTGCGCGTTCAAATTCATCGCGTTGAAACTCTTCAATCTTCGTCTAGGGATATGTGGTACTAGATTAAGTGATATAAAACACGTTTAATAAAAAGATGGTAGACATAAAAAAATAAACTATTTTAATTTAATTTTTCTCTTTATTTTGATTTAACATGTTTTCTTTGGCGTTATTTTCGAATCAATTTTATTTCTCATTTACAGTTTCACTCTCTGAGGATAAGCCTAAATAGGAGAAGGTACGAGGTCAGTTCCCGATATCTCGTTTCCGGTATTTTTTTTTTGTGATTCCATTACGATAAATATTTTGAAAATTGCTTGCGAGGAAAGATCATGGGAATTGCTTTACGCTTCCAGTTACCCCATCCACGTCATGTTCATTTATAACTAATGTCTTATTGAGTTAATGGTCACTTTACATGTTGTCCCTGCAATTTTATATACATACATTTTTGATTATATTAACGTGGGTGTTGAAGGAAGTGCGGTTCAATGAATGCGCGCATTTAAGATCTAGATTTTGTCAATAAGCTTGATATTTTCATACAAAATCTTTTCTTGATACGCACTAAGTATATAGACTCGTACGCCCAGGACCCTAATTGATTTAATTATTTTGATTATTTGATTTATTTCAGGTATTCACATTTATCAGTAATTCAAATGTATATATACCATCGAGTTTATTGTCACGGGGTCAATTTCAGCGTGCTTTACAATCGAGTTATTGCTTTTAATTATCACCATCCCGGGTCATGATTATTGCCTCTTCTGTACGTGAATCATTCGTAAATATTGATTGGAATATCAATGCACGTTCATTTCGCTTGTAGTAAATATAAAAGCTGTTGTTCTTTGGAAACGCTACGCATTTTTGTCAATGAATTTGTGAGACTAAAAGCAATTTATGTTTGAAGCTTGGATGACATTTTCCGCTGGACTGATCAACGTAGCGTAATTTTCGCAGATATATGGCGCTTCTTCTATCCATGTGGCTTTCCATGTTATTAATTGCTTGGTTGATTCTTCATCATCCTTTCTTTTATTCCTGAGTTCTCCCTTTTTTTAACAAACTAATTTTTTTGGGTGGTTGGTTGAATTTTATCAGTCTTTTTCGGTTTTTCCTCTTATTTTTTTATCTATAATTTCATATCCTGATTTCTTATAGGAATCGAGTGTCTGCTTTTTCTCCTTCTTGTGACATGTTGTCTTTATAATCCATGTTCATAAACGTTCATTACTATTCTTAACAGTTTCTGATAAAGTTGGCAGATCTTTTCGTATTAATTCCATGGGGTTTAGCTACGATATAACCTAACTCGATTGCATCAACACGAGCTATTGCAGGAAATTCGCTTGAGGGAAAAGGCGGACAATTTCTTTTTAATTTGTTGGAGCTTTTAAACTTGTTTTTATATATATATATATAACTCCGACTGATTTTATTCTACTTATTTTTTGTAAATTTTGCAAATGAGCGAACTTTTGTCCCTGATTGCTCATATATTTCAGTAATTACAATCGATTGTGGCATAAGGTCATTACGTATTTATCGTAATGTCCATCTCATAAATTTACTTTAGACTACGGTATCTTATTACTCTGTCAAGTTATCAAAACATAATTAAAATAATTTCTAATAAACAACCATGTATGTTAGCAGGCAGGTGGAGGTGTTGGAGCTATACAGGGAGGCGCCGAAGGTGGTACATCAGCAGGAGCAGCAGCAGGAGGAGGAGGTAGGGAAGGTAGAAGTAACTTCGAGACTCTACGTACGACGTCCATCGTCAGCAAGCAGAACAAAGACCACCAGCCTGGCGACATTGGTGATGCTCTGTCAGGCTACAAGCGCATCAGGCGGGAACATCAGCGAGCTCAACTCAAGGTGAATAATTGTTTTATTAACTCATTAATATTATATTAACTTTAATTAATTAAATATATTAGATATTGACATCACTAATGCGTGATAGTTTACTTTTTTGAAGACTTTGTACAACCCTATGGGGAAAATAATTAAACCCATGAGGAAAATGACTAACCCCACGGTGAAGATATATAATCAGCCCTATGGGGAAAATTATTAACCCCATGGGCTAAGGATTAATCCCTCGGGAAAGTATTAACCCCACGGGAAAGTATTAACCCCACGGGAAAGTATTAACCCCACGGGAAAGTATTAACCCCACGGGAAAGTATTAACCCCATGGGGAAGTATTAACCACACGGGGAAGTATTGACCTCACGGGGAAAAGGATTAACCCCACGGCCAAGTATCAACCCTATCTGCAAAATTAGTTACTCCTTTCATAGACGAGCTCAACTTAGGGTGACTTATGCTTGATAGTTTACTTCTCTGCAAACTACCAACATATTGTTTTATTTTAATGAGAACGTAAATAATCTAATGTGTATTGAATCAATCATTTTTATCGCGTGTATCCCTGAAGTTCTAGTTGCTATATAAGTGAGGGAAAGTATCTCGCCTTGATTATTTAATATTGAAGTTGCGGTCTCGTATGCATTTCTCGATTGTTCATTTAACTCGAGCTGGCTGTGAACGTCCTTGCCAAATTCATGCACTTTCCTAATGTATTTAAATCAATAGATTTTCTTGGGTGGTAGCTTACTTGTCTTTCTATGTTTATAGCAAGCTTATCATCTGAAATACATTTTCCTTGTGAAAAGATTTGTGAAGTGGATAACATAATTTAATCTTTCTCTGGCTTGGAATTAGGTAACATGACGTAAACGTTTTGTGACTTGGAATTGTGTAACGCGACGTGAACGTTTTGTGACTTGGAATTGTGTAACCCGATGTGAACGTTTTGTGACTTGGAATTGCGTAACCCGACGTGAACGTTTTGTGACTTGGAATTGTGTAACACGACGTGAACGTTTTGTGACTTGGAATTGCGTAACACGACGTGAACGTTTTGTGACTTGGAATTGTGTAACGCGACGTGAACGTTTTGTGACTTGGAATTGGGTAACTTGACGTAAACGTTTTATGACTTGGAATTGGGTAACTTGACGTGAACGTTTTGTGACTTGGAATTGTATAACTCGACGTAAACGTTTTGTGACTTGGAATTGGGTAACTTGACGCAAACGTTTTGTGACCTGGAATCGGGTAACTTGACGCAAACGTTTTGTCACTTAGAATTGTGTAAGGCGACGTAAACGTTTTTCGACTTGGAATTTGTAACGTGACAAAAACGTTTTGTGACTTGAATTTGTTACTTGAATTTGTTTCACACGACAAAAACGTTTGTAAATTTGTTAACTTAACAAAAACATTTAAACGTGCAGCTGGAGGAGCGGTGTCGCGTGGAGATGGAGGCACACAAGCTTATGCTGGATAAGGAGTACGACGCACTGCTTGTACAGTTCAGCAAGGAGCTCGAGAAGCTGCGACTTGTAAGTCTATACTTAATTGTGTATGCTGGAAATATACTTATTATGTGAATAAAGGGAACAAATTATAAAATGCAATTTTTTGAAAATAAATCTCTCGTTTGCCATTTCCTAAATTTCATTGCTTCTTAGCTCCTAGAACTTTGAGAGAAGAAAAATGTCATTCATTCGCATGTTACATCTAAACGTCATTTCCAGCGCTCTATGTTATGTAGATTAATGTATTTCTCTGTTGTTACTGTGTTATAACTATGATAAATAATATAATATAAATATAACTGGTAAATATTATGCATCAGAAAGAGAGTTATTTATAACCATAATAAATAATATAGTAACAATATAACTGGTTATATTATATATCAGAAACATAAATAACATAATAATAACAATATAACTGGTTATATTATACATCAGAAACCTAAATAATATCATAATAATAATAATAACAATATAACTGGTTATATTAATCATCAGAAACACGAAAAAGAGAGCGAGAAGAAACTGGACAGTTGCTCCGTGGTGGTTAAGAGGCTGCAGGCTGACATCACTAACCGACACGCGACTGAGTTCAAGAACTTCCAGCAGCAATACAAGAAACACTTTAAAGAAAATATGGAGAAATGGAAGAGAGATATCGCCAACCATGATGCCTCTAAAAAACAAAAAGAGGCCACCTTGCAGTTAGTATAAATTTTTTCATCCTGTCAAATCAAACGACATGATATTTGCTATTTTGTTCAAATCTGGTCATACTCTAAAAAAGGAATAATTGTTAAAAGTAATATATTGCAATTCTATATATTTATTGGAAACTGTACGTATTTCTCCCTATTGCTTTGGATAGAAAACCTTCCCGAATACGAATAATCTCTTCACATCACCCATAAATCAATACATTTTTTGACCTTGCCGGAAAACTGGCGTATCTTTCATATTATTTATTTTGCACCTTGATAACGTATGTTCTACTGTACTTATACAAAATTATTTTATTAGTAATAGATTTTTCTATTATTTTTATTTGTTTTTATTAATACATAGATTTTTCAACAATAAAAATTATTTTCTGTTATCAGGGCGCATCGGGACGGCCTGAAGGCGACCGAGCAGGACGAGATGACGCGCCTGCAGGTGCGGCAGGCGGAGTACCTCAACCTGGAGACACGCAAGTGCCGACGACGAGGCTTGCTGTCATACTTCGCTAGGGAACAGGTGAATATTTAATTTTTATTCACGAGTTTGGTTCTAAAGTATGTTTTTTTAGTGCATTTTTTCATTTTTGGAAAAAAGATGCTATTGTGCTCGTCATGTCCGTCCGTCCGTCTGTCCGACGAGGCTTGTTGTCCTACTTGTTGTCGAGGCTGTTGTGCTAGGGAACAGGTGCCTATCTTATGTCTATTCTTCACTTTGATTCTAAAGTATGTCTTTTTTATTTTAAACTTCCTTAGATTCTAGTTTCACTAGCATTCTAATAATAGGTAAGGTACAAGAGTAGTGTCAAAATCTCATCTTTATTCACGAGTTTGATTCTAAAGTATATTATTTTTATTTTGAACTTCCTTAGAGTTTAGTTTCACTAGCTTTCTAATAATAGGTACAAAAGTAATGTCAACATGTCGCTAAATTTTTCCAAATGAAAGCTCTTGTACAGTTCAGTGTACTGTCCACAGTACTGTCCAGTGTACAGTTATGAAGTTTCTAAGTGTGCGTTGAGATCCAGTTGATCGGTTGTTTATGCGTGAATTATTTCGCTGGATTCCTCCCATTGATTAGTACCGTATGTATAAATGAATGTTGATGAGTTCGTCATAGGCCGAGGCTTGCTGTGTTATATCACTCGAAAACAAATGACATTTGCGGCTCTCATTTTTCTATGAATGAATGTGAACATGTTAGGTGTGTAGTGAATAGTGAAATAATTCAGGACACTTGAGTTTGAATAGCAAGTAATCACTTCAAAGCTGAAGACAGAACAAAGAAATTATTATTTTACATATGGCCAAATTATAATTTCTATCATTCTTTAAGCTGTCATTGCCGGAGTTACAATCTCGGAACTAGTTTTTGAAATTTCGACCCTGTTTTTGGCTTCCTTGTATAGGTACGTGTTACTAATGCATTCATGCTTGACATGAATATGTTCATGTATCTTTTTGGCTTTTCTTTCATGTGTGTTATCAATGCATAGTTTTTTCGGCTATTGTGTATGAATTTTGTCAAGTTATTCATAATTTGTGATGCGTGTTGCTAATATGTTGTACAGGAACTGCTGCGCGAGGTGGCTTTTTTCATGAGTGTGTTATTAATGCAAAGTTTTTTCAGCTATTGTGTATGGATTTTGTTATGTTATTAATAATTATTGATGCGTATTACTAATATGTTGGGCAGGAGCTGCTGCGTGAAGAGCTAAGCAGGCGAGAGAGTGTTATTAATGCATAGTTTTTTCAGCTATTTTGTATGTATTTTGTTAAGTTATTCATAATTAGTGACGCGTGTTGCTATGTTGGGCAGGAACTGCTGCGTGAAGAGCTAAGCAGGCGAGAGCAGCAGCTGGAGACGGCGCACGCTATGCTGCACCGCCACCAGCAGCTCACAGAGGAGCTCGAGTGCCGGCAGCAGAAAGCCATTCATATGCTCAAGGAGGAACAGGTTACTTTACTATCAATATTTATCATATGAATATTACCGTATAAAGGGTGACTTGTTTTGAAGCGTTTTGTCATTTTTTTGAAGCGTTTTGTGATTTTTTTTGGGACCGTTTTGTGAGTGCTGTCAGCAGAAAGCCATTCATATGCTCAAGGAGGAACAGGTTACTTTATTATCAATATTATTAGGAACTTTTATTATAAGAGTGTTACCTACCGTAAAATGGGTGACTTGTTTTATTTTCAATATTATTAGGAATTTACATCATATGAATATTACCTAACGTAAAATGGGTGACTTAATTTGAACCGTTTTGATATATCTATTTTTGGAACCGTTTTGACAATTAAGAAAAAAAAATCCCTATAATAAAAAGTTCTTGCCCTAGAAAATTTGTGTTGATGGCTCTTGAAGTATCATCAGATATCCTACAAGTGCAATGAAGATGTATATTTTACACAACTATGTGGCTATTTGCACCTATCTTAAAAAGGTAAGCGCTAAAAATTGTCTAAGTCAGCCCACTTTACGGTAGGTATATTATTATAATTACCTGATAAACTTAAGGAGAGGGACAGGTGACTTGTTTATTAGGAATGTTATAGTAAATTGTATTATTATAATTACTTTCCATGCTCTCGTGACTCGATTATTATGTATTAATTACTTGACATGCTCAAAAAGGAACAGGTCCCTTCTATATTATGAATATTACCTGATATAATTATTTGTACTACCGTATTATAATTGCCAGACGTGCTTAGAGAAGAACAGGTGATTAGATTAATAAATACTATTTACCTGCTATCGGGATAAAGTTTCATCAGTTGAATGTATGTATTTTTTTTCATTTTCAAAATATAGGAAAAAGGAGAAGAATAAAACGAAAATCTGAAATTAATTAAAAATTTATTTTATTACTGTGGTACATTGGTCGAAAATCAATTCATGGGTCAAATTTAATAATTTTTCAATAATTTTGATGCTGTGGTAAAATAGTCAGGCAGTTTTTAACGGATCGTGAGATGCAAAATCAGTTTCGTTAGCTGCAAAACCTGTGAAGCTTTTTAGCTTATATGGACATTTACTTGGAAGCTTTTTGTCATTTTAAATCCTGTTGTTCTACTATATGTTGTGTATATCATGTGTGACGTATGTTGTGTATCATTATGTGTACTCCTGTGTGAACAAAGTGCTTGTGTTTGTAACAGATGACACGACAACACAACGCAGAGACGACGAGTCAGAAGGATTACATGAAGCGCTGCGAGAAGGAGCTTCATAAGAAGCATGCGATGCAGCAGAAGCAGCAGCCTAAGAGTCTCAAGGTGAGACTGCTTCTTGATCTGTGTAGAATTTATACAGTGTGTTGCCGTGTAGAATGTTGTATTTTTATGTGTAATAAACAGAATATTACCGTGTAAAATATCACCTGAGAAACTTGATATTTGTTGTAGAAAAGGTTTGTGATAATGAATAGTGTTGATATAAAAACTCATGTTAAATGTTTGTACCTTTATGTGGATTATGTCAACATTTAGCTTGGTGCAATTCTTAGTTTGTTATTATGTATGTCAACATTCTATTGTTGGGGGAAAAATAAATAAAAAATATGTACGATTGCGCTCGAATTTCATCCGTTTGATATATTGCCTTTATAATGAGCTTAACAGTACAAAACATTAGCTGTTGTCCTGCAAACTAATTATATCTTCTAATGATGTCGACGATTTGTTGTATATAAACAATGATTTTTTTGCAACGATATTTAAATTTTTCGCAGCAAAAAGAAATTGAGATCCGCCGCCAGTTCCGCGACACGATCAACATCCAGCGGCAGCAGTACAAGGAGTACAAGCAGCAGGTATCATCAGTAATATATTATAAAATATAATAATAATACTAATATAATTGTATATCATTTATCGGAAATTTAGCATCGGCAATATATTATGATACCTAATAATCATGATTGATATAAGTTAATAACTTCTATCGTAAATTTAATGCACTCCATTTTGATGGGATTATTCACTTATATTATTGAATATTTATAATTATTTGCCGTTATTCTGACGCCAGTTACTTCTGCCATTAGCTGCTGCCAAAAACCCCGCAAAGGTAGCACTTCATTTATTGAAAGACAACTCTATTTATTACTTTGTAATTACTGCAGCATTTTATTTTATATCACAGTAGCACTTTATTACTTAATTTTTTAATTTTGCTGCTATTTTGCCGTCATCTACTGGCCAAGACGCCCCGCGAAGGTAGCAGTTCATTTATTGAAAGGGATAATAATATTTAAATATTATTAATAAATTTTAATTGCAGGAGCATTTTATTTTACATCACAGTAGTACTTTATTAATAAATTTATTTAATTTTGTTGTTATATTGCCGTCAGCTGCTGGCGAAGACGCCGCAAAGGTAGCTTTTCAGTTATTAAAAGACAACTTTACCTATTACTTTTTAATTACAGAAGCATTTTATTTTGTATCACAGTAGCACTTTATTAATTAATTTAATTTTACCATTATTTTCAGCTGCTGGCGAAGACGCCCCGCGAGGAGCACCGCGCTGTCCTGAAGCGCGTCAAGGAAGACCAGCGCCGCAAGCTGGCTATGCTGGCCGACCAGTACGAGCAGAGCATCGCTGAGATGTTGCAACAGCAGTCACTTAAACTGGACGAAAGTCAGGTGAGTCAAGGCTGTAAAGTGGGTCATGGTACCACACCAGAGCCAGTTAAGTCAAGGCTGTAAAGTGGGTCATGGTACCACGCCAGAGTCAGGTGGGTCATGGTGGTAAAGTGGGTCATGGTCCCAGATAGTAGAAACCTATAGTACTAATGCTACTAAACACGAAACATTGCCGAGGACTTGGTCACGAGAATAACTCGATCTTCTTTTTACAAAACATTCGTTCAACCAAAGGCCTAACATATTAAGTAGAATAAATTTTGTGCTTTAGATAATTGTATATGAATTAGAGTCTAATTATAATTAAATTATTCAAGCCTGTTCTTCTTTAATAACATTTTTGTGGTTGTTTGCACACTCAATGATACGGATGGACCATATTGACCAAATTGTGACACTTCCTTATTCATTATATGAGCATAGAGCGGATCTAACACTAATACGCCCTTTAGCCGAGCCTAACTGTGTCAGGATGACCCACACAAGTTTCAGAAAAAATGTGCATATCACTAATCTCATTAATTATAAAGAATTCATATTGCATATTACTAATCATATTAATTCATGACTAAATTTAATTAGTCGTTTAAATTAATATCAATAATATTAATAAGTAATAATTTTAATATTGATAATATTGGCATAAATTAATATTAATCTTATTAATCTATGCAAGTGCAGGTAGTGGAGCAGGAGCAGAACGCCCTTTCACCGGGCCAAACTGTGTCAGGATGACCCACACAAGTTCCAAAATTCGTGTGCACATCACTAATGTTATTAATTTATTGTGCAGGTGGTGGAGCAGGAGCAAACCACGGAGAAGTTAAGCCACGAACTCGAGGTTCTCACGGAATATCAGCGACGTAACCGTCAGGCTGCTGAAGCTTTACGTCTGCGTGAACGTCGTGAGCTGGAGGAACGCGTGGCCATGCGTAATGCTTCACTCAAGCAGAAAATGCAACAAGAAGTCATGCGCTTTGAGCATGAGAAGAATGAGAGGATCAGACTGCTGCAGGAGAAGCAAAGTCGCGAGCTCGAGGAGTTCGATAAGGAGAGCCTCAGGATGGGCTTCACGTGAGTCTTTGAGTGCTTTTATTATTATTATTATTAGTGTTCATATTATGTGGCATTAACTTGATAATTTCTACATTTGTAATACTGTGATGATTACTTCACTGGTAATACTGTGATGATTACTTCACTGGTAATACTGTGATGATTACTTCATTGGTAGTTCCTTGAAGATGCCTACAGATTACTAAGCTGTTAATGCCTACAATTGCACATTCATTGCAATTTGTATTTTTATCACTATGTACATAATTCATCGGCAGGCATTAAAGCACATTCGTTGCTTTAATTCGAATAAACTTGAAGGTTTAAAACACTGAACCGTAACACAAGTTCTTAGTAATTCCTGTTAATTGTAGATATCATGCATAAAAACATTTTATATGTGATCACTTACACGCATATATCAGAGGAATTAGAATGAATTTAACATCCAACCGTTGCTTTAAACAAAATTAATATCAAAGTTCTGGGTAAAACTTCACTAACATATTGTCATCTATCAAACTTCACGCGCATAGTTGCAGTCAGTGTTCGTTACTCGTTTGTGAGTCTACCTCGTAAATTTCTATTTCCATGCGGAATTTATTTCCGTATGGAAATCGCTTCGCTCTTTCAGAGAAATGAACAGTTTTGTCTAAATAGTGATGCACTTTTTACCATTGGGTTAGTCATCCTGACCCTATTTGGCCGGACAAAAAGGATGCATCAGTGCTACGTCCGCTCTGATCAAGCTGTGGATAAGAAAATGTGTCAATATTTGGACAGTATGGGTCATTTGTTTTTCTCAGTGCTAATTTGTTGTCCGTATCGCAGTTACCCGCGTGCATGTTCATCGCATGTTGTTTTTATCTCATGGTTGTTATTTAATAATAAATGTTATTTTGATGTCATGTTCTCTTGTTCTGACTTTTGTTCTCTGTTCAGAGCGGCGCGTATCGCTGAGCCCTCCACCGAGCGCTCCCCTGAAGAGTTCAACGTCTCGTCACAGATGCTCTCCCTGACGCTGTCCCATAGCGCCCCCTACACCACCTGAACGCCCCCTACCTTACGCCCCTCCACGCCACCTGAACGCCTCCCCACATCGCCCCCCACGCCACCATAACGCCTTCTCTTCCCACCTTCCTAAATTCTTCCCCAGCTTTTTTGCTGGGATTTTAACCTTCCTACCATTTTCATGTTTTTTCTCTTTACTATCTTACAATTACCTACTATATATTTCATTAATTTTTTCAATTTATTCGTTCACACTCCCCATTCTTCATTCTTTATGTTTTTCATTTTTTTAATTTCATCCTTTGAACCTTCTTTTTCGAAAATATTTATTCAAATTCAATATCTTTCAAATGCCACTATTTTGGCCAAGATTAACTTCCCTATATAAGTTCCCCGATGATATTGGACTCTTCAAATCATCAGTTCACTACTTACTTATTGTGACACTCATCCCGCTAGTTCCCTATAGTGAGTCATGTGAGACTCGCTCATAAAGTGAGTCACGGAGACCCACTTTGAGTTCCATGAAGTGCGTCTCATTGCTCCATCAATAATAGTCAATCAAGTCTTGTTTCTTCCAGACCTTTATTGTTACGTAATATGAATAGTGAAGGATGTTCACACGTGAGGAATATTCATATGTGAAGATAATGGAATTGCCCACGCGCATTTCCTTTGCACTCAGAGGAATGAGCACGATTTTGTCCAAATAGCGATGCACATTTGGCCCTTGTGTAGGCTACCAGTTTGGCCTGGCAAAAAAGCAAATGTGTCACTGTTTGGACAATATGATACGTTCATTTGTGTGAGTGCATGAAGTCGCAGTTAGTTGTAAGCGCTTGTATTAATTAAGTAAGCGCTTGTATTATTTATACTACGTGTGGGTTCTGCAGTTCATGAGTGTCCGCCAAAGTGTGCCCTGTCGGGAGGCTAAGTCTGCTACTGTAAATAGTGCAATTTTAGATCTAACATTTAACCAAGCTCCTTAAACTATAACCTAGTACGCTCAGAGAAATTAATGAGACTTTGTCCAAATAGCGATGCACTTCTCTGTCTTCCTGTCTTTGTTTGGCCCGGCAAAGAGGGATGTTATCAGTGCTACGTCCGCTCTCTGCTTGTGCTGTGAGTAAGACAGTGTGTCACTAATCGGACAATAGATCCATTCAATTTTCTGGGTGTACTCAAGTATAACTGCGTCACCAGAATAACTCTTCAGAGGTTTTTGGCCTGCTGTTTTTCCGAAATTTGAATTGAATTTTTAAATTTCGGAAGTCGAATTTTTTCTAGCGGACTTTTTTGTCCGCGTCTTTGGATTAAATTCATCATCTCAATTTCTTGCTTTCTCTAATCTCTAAAATATTTCTTTCTTTCATTATAGGAGTGCATTGTCAGGTCCTAAGCATGCAGGGATATTCGAATGTAAACATTCTATTTCTACTACTTCTACCTGCGATTTATGCATTGATAAGATCAATTATTGGGTGTTATAAAAAAAACTAGAAAAACGGTGCGTATTTCCTTCGCGTAGCAATAGTCATAGATATCAGAACCCTGAAACTGATAGAATTGTTTTAGCAATAGTATATACTAGATACCGAAGTCCTAAAACTAATAGAATTGTTTTTTTACAAAGTATTGAAGATACCCTGATCGCCACGCTCCATTTTTAAGTTCAAATAAAGTATAGGGTTTATCACGTGTTCCGATGAGCATGGTTTTTTCCTAACTAGTCGCTGAATAATATTTTTCATCATTAATCATTTATAATGAATTGCTATAATTCAGGTCTCGTGAAGCTCGTTCGCCTTTGATCTTTTTAAAATGTCTACGTTTTTTTTAACCCAAATATTTTTGACGTGTTGATTGAGAAGTTTTTCATGTACTTTTAACGCTATCTTGCTGTTATTTATGTTTATCCGGTTATTTTGTGTTATTGCCGTGTTTGCTGAAATTGCTTTTCGGAATTCTAAATTTATTTAGAGAATATGAAGGGAAATTTTGGGGGATCTTTTACTTGGTGAATGATTTCCTTGCAAAATATTAATGAGAAATCAAGATTTCGTTTCCCATATTGAAATTTCGTAATTTGCGTATTCGGTAGCGGCAGGGTTTGGCATGCTAATTATGCACCACGGGCGTCTTGCTTCAAAAATACCAATTCTCATTTGATGTGAAATTTGGCAAGATAAAAAAAGTCGTTTTTATGGTTGAAATTTATTTTGTTGGAGACTCGGCATCACGCTAGGTTAATGTCCTAATTAGGAAAAAATATTAGTAAAAAACTTACTAGGATTTTCATGCATTCAGAGAAATTGGTTCTAAGCTAGGGAAACCAGTTATATTTCGAATAATAGAAGCTCAAAAATAAACAAATTTTTGTTCGTAAAATTGATACCTTTCAAGGGCACTCGATTGAAATTCTTAGACCAAAAAACGTGAATTTACCGCCGTACAAAGTCTTACTGACTCGCATGTTTTGGGTCTTTTTACCGCGATTTTAATTTTCCCCCACAGGCGTAAGCTTTATCAGGTCTGTATTGCCCGATCAAATGTTTAAGTATTTCCTTGTAGTTGCCTAACAACTTTTACTTAATGGCCTGTAATGCACGAGCTATACGCGAATAACATCATCACAATTATATTTGGTGCGTCTCAGACGATCAAAAGTCAATTTTACTCAATATCTAATAATAAACCGATGTAAATTGCTTCATCAATGCTCTGAAAGCTTCTCCAGCCTTTAATTCAACTCTAATTTCAGGATTACTAATCAACGGAGTCACTGTAACCTGGCTATATGTTAAATAAAGTTCTATGTGTGACATTCACATTTACACAGTTTATTACACTATTTTTCTGCGTAAATAACATTTGAAACAAAATTCGAACTTCCAGTGGTCATCTATTTTAAATATAAATTTTCCTTTGTTGCTCAATAGTGCCTGTAGTAAAGAAGAATTTGTGAACGAGAGTGAGTTGTATATTTGGTGGCCCCCGTGGGTAAAATCAATGCATCTAAACCATCGTTTTAAACGCTTCTATTGTCTTTACCAAGTTTCTCCATCATTTCTACTGTTTTTTCGCTTTATCAAGAACTGTTTTAGCCTCGATGTGTGATATGTATACTCTCAAGAAGAACTGGAGTTACACTATCAAAAGTTTTCGGGACCTAAAGAATTAAACGACTGTCGTAAAATCATTATTGCGTACTACATCAGCTGGTTGCTTAGTGAGAATGATTTGTATTGATGGCTTTCACATTTCATGTTAAACTTTGAACTTCTTGCCTCTGTTTCTGTAAGCAACTCTGTAATTGTCCCGGGAGTTGAACTTTCTATTCAATTGTATTGATTGAATCGCAGGTAGAATGATGAATATCTATATCGTTATAACGTATTTAACTTACAAAACAATCGTACAGAATTTCGCTTTATTTCATGTGTTCCGCCAAGAATGTTCGTTCTCCCAACGTGATTACTATTATTATACAGCGATTTGTATAATGTATTTGTTGTCTTATGCATTTGTGTTGGCGCTGATTCATCATGTGTTTCTTGAACATTTCTTATTTCTTGAAGTGGTAATAACTAAACGTACTCTGGCAATCCGCGATTTCGCTCTCAGCGTCGGATATATTTCGAATATAACATTCTAGCTTTTCTCGTCTTTCAGAATACTTGGCATATTCTTGAGCCGTTTTAATTTTGCGCCGTCGTTGTATAAAACTAATACTAATAATCCTAACCAATATAACAATGATTGTAACGGTTAATGTAATGTTCGGCTCACTGGTTATGAATCTACTTTCAACGACGACTCAAAATAATTAGATGAAAAATCACTTATAGCCTCGCTCGTGCCAACCAAAACTCTAACAAATATTTCGTTCATCCAGTGTCACTAGGTTTTTGAATATTTAGCTATAATCAATTGTGTTATGCTATTCCGCCATCAAAAATTCATGCAGTAAAATAACGACATGAGTTTTCAAAATGAATGAATGAATACCGCATTTTCTAACATTGTTGATCATACATCGCGGAGCACAATCGACAGTAGTGCGCCCGTTACCATAAAATAATCATGATCATAAAATAATCCTAATCTTGAAGTAGTCGCCTGTGTACGATAAATGTTGGAGAGCGGCTTGCAATAAAACGTCCTTATTGGGATAATTTCCATAAATTTCTGGCGGGATGTGCACTTTTCATCTAATGTTCGAACGTTGGAAACGTAAGGCTCTTGTAAAATATAGTTCGTATCATCAGCTTTCGTTCAATTAATGAATTTTATTTGAATCATCAAAGTAAGATTGTCATTGGAAAGGCATTTATACGAACTGAATGCTCTTGAAATCGAACTGACTTCGTTGACAATCGTTAATCCTGATGACTTGAATACGATGGAAGTCCTCTAGTTCTAATTCCCTGATGTCATCAGTAAGCGTTATTCGTAACTTCAATTAATACTGAAACCTTTTTATCATACCAAACAAACCCATCAGCGGCCTACATGATGTCCGAGGCCTCGAGTTTTATAATATTCGTATAATAACAACTGGACGATATAACAACTGATATATTACAACTGAATGATATAACAACTGCCAGGATATGATTTGTGCCGCTAAATTTAAGTAGCCTTTAATCTTCCTTTTAATCACTCTATGTTTAAATTATGTTTTCAGATGTTTTACGAATCTATCCATGCAAATAGTAGCTGTAATATTTTGTAAATACATTTTAATTGTGCTACTCTGAGTAGATATGTTTTTTTCTTAATTCCCAAAGGGTGTGTTAAAACATGAACATATTTTATTGATATTTTCTTACTAATGACTGCATTGAACAAAATTACACAATAATAATTAATTATTGAATAAATACGTCGGCAAACTCTCAAAGCTGAGCACCGATATTAATTTGTTCAAGTTATAATGGAATATTATGGCATCTCTTACATCGCGGATGCCCTCAAGTGAACATTATTAAATAGCAATTACCGTCATTAGACAAAGGGTTAACCCTTCAGTCAATAACTAGATTTTGAATATATCTATTATATTGATAATATTGGTATTCAAAGACCTAGTAACTCTAAATGGAAATAATATGCCTGAATATCCCGTGACCTGGCAAAAGAGCAATACAATATAAATAAGAATGTATTGTATGTTCAGGCTGGGAGGTGTGATGTCTTCATATCCAAAGTCCAAAAATTAATTATATAGAAAACGTCAGGAAATTGGTAGGCTGTAGGGTGGTGTTGCCGCCGTCTTGATGAAGAATTTGCCAGGTCTGAAATAAATAAAAACTGTATTTATTTCCTTGCATGTAGTAATAATCAAGTTCAATCTGATAACTGTTTTAATTCTGCGATGGTTATTTGATGTTATCTTTAAAGGAATCTTTTAATCCCTCTCCTTGCTATCATCACTATTCTTACATAGAGTAAGAAGAGTGATAGAAAATGGAATTAATAGAAAATTACAATTTACATACAGTACGAATAGTGTGTAATAATACAGTAACAAATTCAGATCCTATTCAGAAATCAAATTAAAACAACATTTAAATTCTGCTGCATTATAACCTTACTTAGTAACATTAAAAAAAGGGATAATTTAATTAAAGTGATCATTTGAACATGATCAGTTAATTATCAACTAACCGAACATATTCGTCCATGAAATAAACGGGATTTTCGCACTCGGAAATTCCACCTTCCGCGCCTCCGGAACAAGCAGGAAAAGATCCGTCGTTTAGTAGCGCTTCAATGACCAGCCAGTGAGCACGGTAGTGAGAGCAGATGTTGCTCACTGCAAAACACGAATAATAATTAGCATGAAAAATTTTGAATTCTTAACTGTGACTGGAAAATACTTAGAATATTATGACTTCGTTACAGTAACTTAAGAATTCTTACACTGAAATATGATTTGAATCAATGAATCTAACAGAAAGATGCACCATGTGCGCTAAAATCGATTAGGTCGAAATGAAAAAATTTTGCGTATATGAAATTCGATTAGAAATGAAAAAATTTGAAAAATCGAATAGGTCGAAATGAAAAAAAAACAGCCCATACGCGTACAGTACATGGTAGGGCTTGATATGCGCCAAAAAAAAATTTTTCGGCCGAAACAGGCATCTTCATTGACCGCGGGAAAAAGTCTGTTGGGAGAATAGGCGTCCTACCAGACACCTGACGTTGTAATAAGGCCGATTAAACGTTGTTCCATGTATCATCTCTTAATCAACATTTTTGCAGCAAAATCAAATCGTAATCAACGTTGTTTCAATAAAAAATATCTTAATCAACGTTATTACGCAAAAAGTCAACTCGTAATCAACGTTTTTTCAATGAAAGCATCTGTTTCAACTTTTTTAGCCTGAAGGGGACGTCTATATACTCACGGAACTGAGGCCAGTGCCAGCCGTAGCATCCCTCCTGCAGGAGGCCGCCGTTGATAACGAAGTCACGTGCCAGGGGCGGCAGCGACGACGAGACGACGGAAGACCTCAAGACGACGACCTCGTCAGCGTCGCCGTCGTCCAGGAGCTCGTCGGGACCAAGGTGACGATGATAGCCCGGCCAGGGCGTGGAGGGGTCCATGGCTGCACACTCAGAGGAATAAGTGCATCGCTATTTGGACAAAGTCTGAGTCATTTGTCTGAGTGCAGAATGTCTTCAGTTTTTTCACAAACACGAGTCATCGTTTGGCCGATAAGCGATGAACTTTTCGCTAGGAATACTTAGATTTTATTTTATTTTACTTCTTATTTATTTATTATTATTAATTAATCTTCGCATTTCGTAATAATTAAATTGGTCTCACTTTAAAAAAGTGAGAATTTGCCCAAATATCGGTCTGAATTTTGGCATTGTGGGTAATCTTGACCCAATTTGGCGCGGAAAAAAAAGCCTATCAGTTTTAGGCCCGCCCTGTACTAGCTCGCTGTAAGTAAATGGGTCATTATTTGCATAATTGACCCATTCATTTTCCAAGTGAGATGTTAATCTTTAACATCCTGCAGTTAATTAACAATTCTAGTAAAAAATAGAACAGTTTCTAATTAAACGAGCATATCTCCATACAGTATTTATGTTATCTTCATTATTGCATTTCGCAATTACTTATGGTAGACTATTCAATTAAAGTATCTGATAGTAAATATTATTGTGAGTGACTGTCAGTTTCGTATATTACATCCACCGTCAAATGTTCACTGACTGAATCCCTTGACAATTCATAATAATCTTTACGTTTTTCTTCAGCTCATATCTTACACATTTTTAATGTTTATTCTATAATAATATAATAATAATAATAATAATAATATAGCGGTTCCAGCGTTTATTAGACCGTAGGCCTGTCGCCGATATTAGCTATAGATCCTATCCTGGATTCGATTACGAACATTTATTACCTCAATAGCATTTATATTGTTTAATATTATTCCATTACCAATTATAATACCATTTATATTACCTGTTATTCGTCCAATTTTTTGCGGCGTTGAAAGGTGTTGAGGCATAGAGCCCATTACGCGTCCAGCCATCGAGAAACACAGCACGTGGACACGGGATAAGCTTCGAAGTAAAAATTAAAATTTTAATATATTACGTTATATTTTATTACATTTTATTATATTATGTTACATTATATTATATCAAATTATAAGTCACAAAATATGAGAATTGGAAATATAACTCAATGAATTGAGTCCACATATTGCTGAATGGATTCATGTGGTTCTGATACTTTTGAATTTTGAGACGAAAATTTGTTCACTGGATAAAATTTCGTATCTTAGTTTGAATGCGTCGGTAGCATGGTGGTCAAATAAATAAAAATTGCATAGCTAGCAACAAAGTTGAGAAGATTTCTATTGCGTTTTAACAATCTGAATATATTATCAATACAACAAATTTTAGAACACAGAACGAAAAAATGTCAGTGAATTACAGACCACGCGAACACACTACATACCTGAAATCTCGATCGTTAGCTAAATGGCTGAAAAATTCGGCCAGAGTTTTAGCGACTATATCAATATTGTTGTTCATGGCGGGTCTGCTGATGGTGGTGAGGTGGTAGTAGTCAACCAGCAGCACCACCCCCGCCCGCCCCCGCCTCAACAAAGCTGCAAACACCGAGCTCAGTCAAGGTGGGCTTGAATTCAGTGATTGAATTCATCGCAAATCCGTTTTTCACATGAAAATGTTTCATTTTTTCATGACAGAAATTATACGATTGTATTTTGCTCTGTGGTTGCAAATCTTGCAGCGCATAAATTTGGCATAAAAATTTAGCATTTAAAGAGACCACCAAGTATGCGAATTTGGTTTATAACAAGATATTTACAGCGTCTTAGAACTCCTTAGCGATTCGATTAATTCTTTCGTACACCAAATAGCAATCAATTCAAACGTAACACTTCGCACAATATATACAAAGCCTTATATTATTCATCTCATCCTTCATTATCATAGATGGACGATTATAAACTTTTATTAAAACATTATCGTAATTACCATTGCCTTAAGCTATCATTGATGAACGATTATAAAAGTTGATTAAAACATCATCGTAATCACCAGTGCCTTGAGCTATCATTGATGAACGATAATAAAAGTTGATTAAAACATTATCGTAATTACCATTGATTTGAGCTATCATTGATGAACGATTATAAACGTTGATTAAAATATCATTGTAATTACCATAGTCATTATGAACGTTGATTAAAATATTGTAATGCCCATTACCTTGAGCGAGAGGTATGGACCATGAAGAAATAGCTTGCTCAGTGTAGCCCGCAACGATGACACAGAGCTTGTCATCCCCATGGGGGGTGGGGAATGTTCGTAGGGTTGAGGAGTTCAGTAACACAGGTTCTCTGTCATGCCTGATGTTAGGGGATGACTTAATTATCAATAATATATCGTCTTATAGATTATTAACTATTATTATTATGATATAATTAGATTATTTATTATTATTATATTTTGTTACATTATTATTATTTATATATAAAACTTAATTTTCGACAATATTGTCGTAGTGCATCACGGGTGAAATCAAGCTCCGCGATCCTAAAAAAAAAGTGTTACCTCTTTGTCTACTGACCGCAAATCCTGTTACCAGGCCTTTAGGTACGAATATCATTGACGACGGTTAACGAATCCGTAAACAAAAGGTTAAAGTTCATCACCGCATCACCAACCTGTCGGTGAAGTAAACCCTGACACCCACGGCAGGGTCAGGAGCGTATTTGTGATAGAGGAACCCAAGCACTGCCGCAAGGACAGCGACTAAGATGGCCAGTGTTGACCGACTCCGAGCTTCCATCCTGACGGACGTCAAATAATTCATTATAGATGTTTGTATCCGCAGTTTTGCAATACAATAACATATGACCGAATAAATTAAATCATCAGAATCATATTTCTAAACTTTGACATGTCAAGGGGACCCTTCATTGTGCTATGTAAATCGAGCTCACTGCTAGTGATTGTCTATCAAAGCAACGGAAACGAAGGACGCATTTGCAAGTGATAGAGACAGTTATATTTACCAAGCACCGTTTCCACGTTACAAGGAACGCGTTTAAATTACTGGCACTGTGGCACATTGGGAGTGGAAACTAATATGCCTTCACTTCAAAGATGTTATAGTTGACTTTATAAATGTTATTCTTATTATATGACCCATTGTTTCTGCGTCATGTGGAACACAATTGTATTCCTACTCATCTTGAAGGAAAGCAAGGAAGACGATAGGCAAAGAGTAAGTTTTAAAATTCGTAGGACTTCTCCTCTGACACAAGATAAGCTTTTAATCCAGATTTAATAACACACCTTATTAAAACGAACGAGTAAGCACAGCAAATACAAACTATTAACTCTTATTAGCACTGAGATTCGAAGAAAGAATTTTCATCAACCTCATGACGATGACGTCGGACTGCGCCACTGACAACACACAACACCCACGACTTTTGGAGTGCTACTGACGGGCGACGGGCCGGCTCAGTGTTGCCAGGTTTTTTCTCTGCGAGAATACCAGATTGCCTAGCTCAAAATACCAGAAATATACCAGAAATTCTATTGTTCGAAAACTGACTAATACCTCCAAATTTTATGAAACTATTCGACGGAAACGTTGGTTAGAAAAAGAAAAATATATAGATCTCAGTACTCACTGCAGTGACTGACAGAGAGCGCATTTTCTCGTCGACGGAAACGTGGTCACGGACGGATAGACGGACGGACAGTCGGACATGGTGAGCACAATAGTGAATTTTTTTCATAAATGAGTAAATGCGCTAAAAGTATTTTATGTTCTGTACATTTATCAGTGTGGCACTTCTTCCCCTTCGCTCAACATGAGCAAGCCACGGAAACAGGTCATCTTCCATTTTCATACATGCTTACAGGTCATCTTCCATTTTCATACATGCTTACAGGTCATCTTCCATTTTCATACATGCTTGCATATTGCATTAATCTAACATTTCGGGTTTGATCACTTGTTACAGCTAAGCAGGTAGCTTTTGGTCCGAATAAGGGACTGCAGTACCTTAGTTGAAATTTTATTTCGTTACTTGTTTTTCACATAGGTGACTTGTGAAAACATTCAACTCCACGAATGCATTAGAGACCTGGTCAAAGTAGACACGTGGTGCAGTAGGCAGCCAGTTCTATGAATGGATGATGATTTTCAAGATCAGAGAAATATTGTACGGCACCCCCGAATTGAAGTGGCACTCTATAATTCAAACCACCAAACAAAAATGGTGGAGCTTGCGTCGCAGAGATCGGTTCGACAACCTAACTCGTCCTGTTCCATATCATCACTGATCAGTAATCAATCAAGGATCATCACTCTCGTGTTCATATTGCACTAAGCACTTTTGTTAAATGTTAACAAATAACAAATAGATTGGGGTTATTTCATCAAGCGGTAAACTTGCGGTTCCAAAAATGGCGGGAAAGCTCTAATCGCGCCGCTCTGAAAGCAATCTATATAATCACTCCTACGCTGGAGGAAGTTCAAACTTCAGAGGTGGAACTTGATGCAGTAAATTTGCAGTAAGTCAGAAAATACCAGAAAAATACCAGATTTAGGCATATATACCAGATCTAAAATATTCATACCAGACACCTTCTGAAAATACCAGATTTGTGAAATCTGGTATAGAAATATACCATCTGGCAACGCTGGGCCGCCGGCTGACGGCTCACGGCCAGGACTCCCAGCCAATAATTTGAGAAAAACTTAGATGGTTGCTGAAAAACACCCAGATTCTGCAGATTTTGTGGGAAAAAACCCAGACAACAAATTTCATCAAAAACATTGTAATTTTACTTACTTCTGATGGAATTATAAATCTTCGGCTGCTGCTAAATTTGGTATTGTGTGAGTCTCTGTCTTGGTTAGCTCTTGGATGAGCGTAAAATCCATATTTCTCTTACTACTCCGGGAAAAATAGAAGGTAATATTCTTCAAAAATGATTCGAGATATTATGGCAACATTTCACAGCGTGACTTGTGCAAAGAGCAAAAGAATGGCATTCGCAACCCATAACAAAAACTGATAGAATGTCTTTCTTCAATAGGGTTTGAAAGCCACTCATGTTGCCCATCATAGTAGAACAATTATCGCTTCCAAATCCAATAATGTTTCAAAAAGGATTTCTTTTTCTCATTCAGAGTCGTTTTAACAGCGTTGTATAAACCACTGGCACTTCCATCTTCAATATCAATTGAGTCAAGCAAACTATCACATACATTATTTTTTTCAACATCAAAATATCTAACGACAACAGCTAATACCTGTGGGTACTATTTTTTTGAAACTGGTCCGCCGGACCGGTCCGGGTCCGGGTTTTAGTCACTCGGTCCGGGTCCGGCGGACCGGTCCGGGTCCGGGTTTTAGTCAGTACCATACCTGTGAAACGGACATGTCTGTGCTCTCATAGATTTTCAGACTCAACTTTTCATTTCTACACTAATCAACAATTTCCCATTTTTCATGATAAGTAATTCCTTCCTGAATAAGATATGAAGCTTTTGTTGCATGAAGTTTTACATTTTTAGCAATACTGCTATCATGAAATGCTCTCTTGCACACTTCCACTAGATGATCTACTGGCGTGAATGGCGCATTGTGTTCAGCAAAATAAGCAGATATTCTGCCTTTGAAACTTCATCACTCTCCTTGGGAATCTGTTTCTTAATAAATGAAACAATTTTAGTAGCTGCTTTAGCTTCTTTCATGTTGTTGAGATGCTTCGCAGTCTTACAATGTGCCATCAACACGGATCTATTAGCATTTTTGATTTGAGTTTTACAACATGCGCAATAGGAAATACCGTTTTCTTTCGAATCTTCTTGCAGCCACTCCTTAAAGTCTTTTTCATGTAACCACTCTTCTTTAAAAAGACTGTTTGGACCACTTTTTAGCAACTTTTCTAGGAGGACTTGCCATTTTCGGGGCCTTCACTGTTCACTATGTTAATTTAACAGCACCGATAGGTACAAAAGTAACAGTAAAACTTAACGCACGACACAACTATAACTTGTCACTTGTCAATAGCGAGTGCGGTACTGCGAAGTGTGCGACGAGAAGTTGGGAACCGTTGCTTTGACTGGTAATGAACGCGTTCAATACTGAAATAAACGCGTACAATACCAGTACCGTCTGTCAGCTAGGGAATTTATATAGTCTGACGGTTAGTGCGTTGCTCCATTCATTGTGTCTTGACTCTGACTGCATAATTAAATTTAAGGCAATGAGAATATTTCAATTATATTATTGGCTGAAAATAACTTACTTAACGAAAAAACCCAGATTTTGCCATTTAAAAGAAAAATACACCCAGACACCCAGGTGACGGTCAAAAAACCCAGATCTGGGTGGAAAAACCCAGCGCTGGGAGCCCTGCTCACGGCTGAGCCTTGAACGAGTCGCCGCGCTACGAAGTCGGCAATCCTGATTTTTTTTGCCTGATGACGTTTGATGGCGTTTCAGTTTTTGCTTTGTCGTAGCAGCTTTGGATGTGCTGCATTTGCAAGAAAAAATGTGCTATCATTAAAGTTTCCATTAAACTTCAACATGAACTAAATACTCACTCTCGATAAAATAATGTTTTTAAGGCGAAAACGTGTAGGTTCATGCAAGTAATGATGCAACCTTCATCACAAATGCTTCGCTGGCACTCATCTTAGTACGTAAATACTAGGTAGTTAATTTTCATAGAGCCAGGAGTGCTTTATGAATTCCAATGAAAATGATCATTCAGTGATTCTTTGTCGTGCGGTCACTTTTTAAGATTAGTGTAACACATAAAACTTATTAAAGACGTTGGACATACAGGACATACAGGCCCCAATTTCAAGGTGTGAAATTTTGTGTTCAATATTTAACCATCTTCTCTTGCAATATTTTTCCCTCCCATTTTTCTTTTAGTTCGCTCTAGAATACGCTGAACTTCACGACAAATCAATATTACATTTATGCCAATATATTAAACAAGATAATCAACTGCACCCTGGACACTCAGGGAAGTTATGCGCTTGGAATATTTGGGAGCTGCTGGAGGGTCAACGTCTCAGTTTCCTGGCACACACGCACAGAAATGAGTGATACTATCTCCAAATAGTAATGCAATGCTTGCCCTTTTGTGGGTCATCCTGACCCATTTGGGCCAGACAACTAGGCGTAGTAATGCTACCTGTAGAAAAAGTGTCGTTCTTTGGACAATATGGCACATTTATTTTTCTGAGTGTATGCTAGTTTTTTTTGTTGAGAATATGAGTGCACGATTCCTGAAAAATAAGCACAGACTAAATAATTTTTGAGTCACGACATGTCTCAATGATGCCAATGTATGTAAACAATAGTAATCGCCTCAAAAATTACCTCATTTGCAACTTCAAAAAATTATTATTCAAAATATTTGTTCCAATTTAACAATATTCTATTTTATTTGTAAATTCATATAAATTTACAAATTGTCGTTCAGCCCTGTCTGTCTACACGATAATAAGTAAAAATATTAAGTTGCGAAATCATCGACTTATGAGAGATTTTTACACCAATTATTTAACATAATATAGTGATATGTCGGCGCTAAGGAGAAGGCCTGATGTGCCCGTCGCCGATTCATGAACTTTTCGTGACTTGTTGACAGAAGATCTAATATCGTGTCATTTGGCCGGATCTTTTCAGGACTACGATAGTTTGAAGTTCGATACCGGGTTCGATATGGTGCTAGGCATTTTAAATCTGAACATATATTTTTCCATAGCTTTATCTAGTCTGTTCTTGAACGCGTTCATACGTGGAGCGCCAACGATGTCATCGGGGAGGCTGTTCCACATGTCGGTGATTCGAAGCAAGAAGAAATTTTGTCGAGTGGAGAAGTTGCAGCGCAGTTTTTTTAGTTTATAGCCGTGGCCCTTGGTGTTGGTTCTTGTTTCAAATTCTAGTTATCCATCGGGGACCTTGTACAAACCATGAGTATACTAGTATACTTCAATGAGGTCCCCACGCAGATGTCGATTACTGAGGCTTGGAAGCTTCATAATCTTCAATCTTTCTTCATAGGACTTGCCCTTCAAGCCTGGAATTATATCCTTGTTGCACGTCTTTGAACATTCTCTGTTAAATTTTTGTCCTTTTTAAATCTTGGTGACCACACAACGTTTCCAAACTCTAGATTCGGTCGCACGACAGCAACAAACAACTGCTTCATCGCTTCTGCATCTAGGAACTCGTATGAGCGTCTGATTAGTCCAAGAAGTTTGTTGGATGTGTTAGCTTGCGTTTCAACA